GGTTAGCAACGATGCCTCAGAGACACCGGCCCCAGTAGAATTCGGAAATGCAACTGTTGGAATGGCCATTTCCCTATGACTTTAAGCCTACAATATGTTTAGTACAATATTTCGGATTGGGTGTCATGCCAGCTAGTATCCACCTTCGATAATACTCTTTCAGCCAATCATAGGATCGAATCGTGATATTTTCAGAACTAGTGGAGTAAGATAAATCAAATTACCCCATCGGAAGAAAAGCACAGACATCTTTTCCATGTACAAATGCTCAAAGTACTTCTCTTTGCTAATTTTTTTAATTACAAATTGTCGCTATTCCAGCTAAAACCAAGTCAGCTGTGTTATTTACAGGTCTACAGGTGCCCCGGCACTGTCGTCAATCTTACATGTCCCGCCCCAAAAACATTGCTGGCATGTCATTGGTCCGACCTGCTGGTGGTTACAAGATGGATGTATTAGCAAAGTATTTCCTGATGGATTTGTTTTGAGACTGAAAACTCAGATCTCAAGACAATCCAGCTTGCAGCGGAAGGTTACACCAGGTCAGCTCTGAGGAGAATGGTTACTGAGACGGGTTGAACTTTGAGTTTTCAGTAAACCGGCTTCATGAAACAGACCCCAGAACCTTGCACACTGCATATGTACAAACAACGGAACTCATCTGCTTCTTCTTCCAGATTGACGACTCCAACCAGCTCCATATCTCGGCGCTGAGTCCGCCGTGTGGTTTTTAGACATACAGTGTGAGAAATTCAAAAACATTGAAAAAGCAATCCACTGGACTTTGTATCCAAGTTTCAAGACGTTTCTCTTCCCATCCAGGAAGCTTTTTCAATTCAAAATGTCAGAAATAGTGCTGAGTTCCAGGCTTTATAGAGCGGATGAAAAACAAAGCCTTGTTTTGGCGAGGTCTTCTGCTCTCCTGTAAAGTAGTTGGGGCTGCAATGATAGCAGGAAGGAATCAACTCCATCGCTGCATTGTAGGTTTTTGAAAGTTGAAATCTGAGTCTTCCCCCCCAAGGTTGGTTTTTCTTTCTTAACATAGAGGGCTTCCTTCACACCCCTCTTAAACCATCTGTCTTCTTTGTCCAAAATGTGAACATTCTGGTCTTTCAAATAATGTCCTTTGTCCACAAGGTGTAGATGTACCGCAGAGTCTTGTCCAGAGGAGGGCGCTCTTCTTTGTTGGGCCATGCATCTATGGAGAGGTTGTTTGGTTTTTCCAATGTAAAGATCAGAGCATTCCTCACTGCATTGAACTGCAGACACCACTCCGCTCATCTCAGGTCTGGGGGTTTGTCTTTTGGATGCACTAGTCTCTGTTTAAGGGTCTTGTTTGGTTTGGAATGTACTGGGAGAAAATGTTTGGAGAAAATTGTCTGGAGTTTTTCAGAGTTTGAGTAATTAGACTGAATCTTAGCATCGGGCCGTACAGTATAAGAACAGACATCGTGAGCTGTGAACTTTTCAACCCTGCGGTTTTATTGTACAGTTTGAGCTGTAGCTGAGTACAATGACTACACTACAGTGTATGCCCGGCTTAAGCACTGCTGGGATTTCTACCATAGCAGATTCTAGAAATGGGGAAAAGGGTTGTAGTAGAAAAAAGAAAAAGACATTGTTTCTACTTGAGCAGTGGGGTTAATGTATCACTGTTGTCAAGGTTTGGTTGTGGTTTGCGGACCCATATGCAGAGGCAGAGAGGCTGAGGAGATTTCTTGCAGTTTAATGGAGAAAAAACAGTAAACAAAGGCAGGAATCCAAAAAAAAAAACAACTAATAATGTAAACTCAACAATAACCATGGAGACATCACGAGAAAATAATCACAGGGAGCCAGGGAGAGACGAGGTTGGACGAAAACAGCATTGAGATCCAGCAACGACAAGGAACCAACAAAGAGTGTCAGCAGAGAGAGAGTATAAGTAGCTGACTAAGACAAAGGCAGGGTTAACGAGCAGATAAGGAGCAGGTGTTAAAGGAGACAATGAGGAAGCCAAGGGGAAAGGAACACACACAAGAGGGCAACAGAGGACAACAACAGAAAAACCTGAGAACTAAAATAAATCTAGAAACTACAACAAAATAGGAATTAAACCAATAAAACTAGAAAACAAGGAGCAAAGTAAAGCATAACAGAACTAAGACCATGACAACTGTTTAATCAATTTCATTGTTTTTTCCAAATTCTAACCATGCCAGCACATGAATTAGATAAGGCCATCCAGTTGTAGCAAATGTTTTTCACACGTCTAGTTAGAGACATGATGCATCACTGGCATTATGTTTTCTTTGTATAATGATAACCTTTCTAATGTTACAGAACCTTTGGTGATCCGGTGCTCAACCCTTTTGGTCACTATGCCCAAACTAGCTGCAAATGCATTTAGCATTTCCTTGCAGACTCTATTGGGGATGTTTATGTCAGCTTCCGTCAGTAGGGGCAGAATGACGTTCTGACTCATACAAAAACTGAAACTACTCTGAAGGCAGTATTACTATAGATGCAAGATTCATGCAAGGAATAAGGTTCAAATTTATTTAACGTCCTCAGACGGAGAGATAGGGCTCTGACTGTCTTAACGCACATTCCCCCCTGGGGAACCAACCCACCCCCTGCATAAAGGACTTTCTCGCACTTGAACATTTGGAGGAAAAACAACTTGAGTTCATCAAGGCTGTTTGCTGTTAGGTTAATATATCTTTCACTGGCCAGATGGATCTCCTCAAAACAACAGTCCTCCCATTCATGCCATGAAGGAGGCTGTTTAACTCATTTTTATCTCTCATGACATTTGTTTGAAGCCTGTAACGCTAAGAACAGACATACCTCAACATTTTTTACCTCACAATCCACACACTTCCAACTTTTTAATGCAATCTGTTCACTTAAATCAGTGAAAGCTACTGTTTTCTCACTAGAAGAGGAAATCAGATGCAAAGAATCAGCTGTATCGTGGTAATAGTTATAAAATGCTATCAGAGGCTATTACCGCTGCTATAATGCCAGAGTGTCAATAGCAGACTGGCAGAAAGCTTTGGCTCACTGTAGGACTCCATTCATGGCTAATTTATTGCTTCAATGAACCACCAAGGTGACATTTCCAGACTAAGGCTATTTGGAAACGCACCACAATTGTTACCATATCATCATGTGTGTGAATTCCTCAATCGTTCCACACTAATTAACCAAGAGGACAGTTTTAACTGTTTAAAACACAAAGCAACCCCTGATAAGAAAATAAGATACCGTCGTCAAACTTGTAATAGTGTCTCAGGTACATGTAATAACATTTTTACTGTACTCCTCAGACACCTGTGCAGCTCTAATAAAGTGTCCCAATGTATTAACATGAGAACAGCCATTTCGCAGAACATCCAAGAGCATAAAAACCCAGAAGTGATATAAACAAGCTAGATAATTCAAATTACTGGACAACAATCAGTTAGAAACAGTTTGAACATTATTGTAAAAAATTACATAAGCAGGAAAAACGTCTTCCAGATGTAATAAAAAATATTTCTAATTATCCCAAAGAAAAATAGTAAAATTATTTATATTGTTTTGCACGAGGTTGTACATTTTGTGCTAAACCCAGGGGCAGATTTAGGAGATTTGGGGCCCTAGGCAAAGACAATCAGGGGGCTCTCTGAATTGAGAAGACACACATAAAACAGACCCATTATCCAGATAGAGAAATGTTAATAGAATAGACATCCATTATCTGTTCTAGGTTGTGTCCCTCTCTTCTTGTCTCTTTTCTTCTTGTTTTCCTCTCTATGTTTTGTACTCAGCTGACTTTTCATGCTGTCTCTAAAGGAATGAAAGATT